GCTTGTGGTCCCTGACAATTCCGGTATATCTCCCCCTCTTTTGTTTTTTGTAAATAAGTTTTTAAATGTTGATGGGCTCGTTCCACGATAGCTTGTCCCTGTGGATTATAAGGGATTCCAGTCTTATGATTAATTTCCCATTGGGTGCAAAACCGTTGAACCGCCTGACTTACATATGCGGGACCATTATCGGTTTTGAGGCATCGTGGGGTGCCCATGGAGGAAAAGGCTTTTAGAAGATGACTGATTACGCCCTTAGCCTTCTCTCCAGTATGTAAGGTGGCAAAAATGAAGCCAGAATATGTGTCAGTGGAAACATGTATAAAGGAGAGCTTACCAAAGCTAGGGAAGTGTGTAACATCAGTTTGCCAGACATCATTAGGTTGTAGTCCTCTTGGATTAACCCCAAGGGAAGGAGAATGAATAAATGGTGCACAGGTTGGACATAATGAGACAATCTGTAAAGCTTGGTCTCGTGAACATCCTGTGTGGAAGCGTAAAGACTGTGCATTTAAATGAAATTTGTTATGGAATTGTAAGGCCTTATCATATTTGGTCGTCACACAGGAAAGGCCAACAGCATGAGTAGTAGCGTCTGCTTTTGCGTTGCCCTCTGACAAAGGTCCAGGGAGCCCTGAATGGCTTCGGATGTGGCCAATGTATAGAGGATCTCCTCTAGCCCAAATGAGAAGCTGAACTACCTGTAGTTGTTCTGTGATGGTGGATTGCTTTCCAATATATGATGCTGTTTCTATGACTAGAGCCAGATTGGCTACATACAAGCTGTCAGTATACACATTAAGAGGAATAGAACTATAGACTTTGAGAGCTATGATTAAAGCTTCAACTTCTGCCTTTTGGGCCGACTGACCTGACACAGGTTGTCGGAGAATTTGAGATCCATCAAAAACGACGGCAAATCCCAGACCCCTTTTGTATAACAAAAATAGGGGTATTCCAAGGGGAGGTAGAGGGCACCACGTGTCCTAACTTAAGCTGGTCTTGAACTAATAGGGAAGCGGCCTGTAATTTGTCCTTAGTTAGGGGCCACTGTTCTACCCACACAGGGTCATCTGATAACCAAGTAATGGACAGTGGAGGCGGCCGCACTTCAGTGGCCCCTAGGATAAATTTTCCAGTCCTCTCCGGTCTCTTCCCCGCCGGGTAACCTGTTCTGCTGGATCCACGGGTGATATTTTGCCCTCATGTCTCTTTTTTAGTCCCCTTCCAGGGATCCATCCCATGTCTAGCATTGTATCATTAACAAAGTCATTATTTCCTTTCAAAGTCTGGGTAGTGAGAATAGCCCCCATTTGATGAAGCAAGTCCCTCCCCCAAAGATTCGTGGGGAGTCCAGTCACCACATAGGGCTGGAAATGGCCACTATGTCCTTCGCCATCTCTCCATTTTAAAAAGGAGGCACTTCTTTTTGGTCGGGTCTGTCCTATCCCCTGTAATATGGCTGAGGGACTCTGGAGGGGCCAGGCAGGTGGCCATTGTTTTTCAGAAATGACAGAGACATCCGCCCCCGTATCTAGTATTCTCTTGAAAGCCTTGTCCTGTATCTCAATGGTCAGGTTGGGACGCGAATCCAAATGAGCTACCCAAAAGGCCTGGGGAGTTCCAGTGAAGCCAAAGCTGCCGTCGCCCTGGGACCCCGGAGGGTGTGCCCAGGAATGGAAGCTAAGGGCAGCAGCAGCAATTGAGCTATACGCTCCCCGGGGGGAAGAATAACAATTCCTTGGGTAGCTTCTACTACTATTTTTATTTCTCCCTGATAATCAGCATCAACAACCCCCGTAAGAATCTTCAAGCCCCACTGAGTTGCGCTACCTCGTCCCAACACTAGTCCCACCGTCCTCTCTGGCAGGGGTCCAAAAACCCCAGTAGGCAGCGTCTGAGGTCCCATTTGGGGAGTTAATACCGCTTGGGAGGTGGAACTGAGGTCCAGTCCTGCGCTTCCTGGTGTTCCCCTGGGGAGTTCCCAGATAGAAAGGGGTTGGTCAGTGGGAGGCGGCGGAGACGCCCACTCCCTGGGGCACTGTTTTGTCTCTGCATTGCCCCGTACACTTTGGCTTCCGGGGCCCGGGGCGGGCCCCTGCTCCCGTTTCCCGACGGTATTGGGTTACCCTGGATGTCAAATTTTGACCTGCACTCACTGTTCCAATGATTTCCTTTATGACATCTAGGACAAATTTTAGGCATCCCTCTGCCAGCACCCTCGCTCCTTTCCGGGCAGTTTCTCTTTATATGTCCCTCTTTCCCACACTTAAAACACCCCTTAGAGCGGGTTCCCCTGTTATCAGCTTTTTGCATTCCAGTCTTAAGGGCAGCAGCCAAAACCTGACCAGTAATATGAGGCCCATCTATATCTTTGTATGCTCGAATCATGTCATCTATACTTTTGGCCCGGGAGGACTTAATAGCATTTTGGCAGTAAGTGTTAGCGTTTTCATATGCCAGTTGTTTAATAAGTGGCATAGCCTGTTTCAGATTAGGGAATATTTTTTCAGCAGCCTGCATTAGGCGGGCTATAAAGTTTGAATAAGGTTCAGAGGGTCCTTGAGAGATCTTGGAAATTTTTGCTTCAGTCTTAGAAACGGGCAGGGTTTTCCAGGCATGGACTGCAGCTGAGGCTATTTGAGCATAAACACCTGGGTCGTAATTAATTTGTTGGCCTATGGTGGCATACTGCCCAGTTCCTGTCAACATTTCAGCATTTCGCCGTTGATGGCCCGCATTCAGGTTAATCTGAGCCAGCTCGCGGCACCTTTTATGATATTCACTTTTTCACAATAAGAAATCCCCTCCAGATAACACAGCCCTGCAAAGTTGCTGCCAATCATTAGGTATCAGTTGACTGGCTGAGAAAGACTCGAAGAGGGTCAATGTGAAAGGGGCATGAGGTCCATAATTAATGACCGCCTCCTTAAGCTGTTTTATGTCCTTGAAGGCTAGGGGGACATGGGCTCTGGCCGGCTGTCCATCAGCATCGGCGTTTTCAATCATTGGAAAAACCTGAGCCGCTCTAGAACCCCAGTGGACCCCCGCCCGTCTAGTAGGGGCGTCCTCATTCCAATCAGGATTATAGGGAGGAGGTGCGGCAACTGAGGGGGCCCTAGGCACCCTCACATTTGCCCTTTTAAGGCGATGTTCTAGTTTTTCTATCTCCCTTTCTAATCCCTCCTCTTCCTCAGAGAGAGAACTGAGGTCCTCAGGATCCTTTTCGGGCTTAGAAATCTGGAGGCGTTTCCTACCCTCCGAGCCTGAGTCCTCAAGGGGACCCTCATCCTTTAAGGATTCTGCCATTTGCTCTTCCTGCACCTGATTAAGGGCCTGTTCACATTCAGCAAGCTGATCCTTGATCTTTACTTTATCTGTTAATAAAGCATCCTTTACCAACCTCCCTAAGGAAAAGGTGGCAACTGGGACACTGTCCGAGCCCCGGTCCCTCAATAATTTCTGAAGGTCATGCCTCACCAGGTCCCAGTCACTATTATTAAGAAATCCTCCTGTCAGAAACCAAGGACAAGCCTGGGCAATAATTTCAACGAATTTGGTTGCAGTCTTAGTTTTTATTCCTGTTCCTTGTGTATTTAACAGCTCTTTCAGTTCGTTGGCCAGACGAACCTTCGCTGTTGAGTTACCCATGGTACGTACCCTGTCTCTTTAAAATATCTTTAAACCAATCCTCCCCCTTCTTTCTTAGAAGGTGAGCCCCGTCCGCTTACCCCTGCTTTCCGGATCTCGGTGGGAGCCTCCAATTGCCGCGTCCGGCCAAGGGAGCCGAGTCCGGCGAGGGACGGCGAGGTTAAAAGACACACAGGACACCAAGGTTCTTCATCCAGGAGTCAATAATAATCTTTATTGCTAACACACCTTTTTTTATACCCCAAGCAGCAGAAGTGGAAAACTACCCAAAAGCAGGAGGGAGGGGGGAGAAATTTAGTTTCAACATCTATTATTGTCAGGTACCGAAACCTCCCTTAACAATAAGTCCATCAGACCAGAAAAGGTCAAGGCATTCCCGTGGGATACATATGTCTCAGACGGACAAGCAGGAACAGAAAAACCGCAAGTTCGCCATGGCCTTGTGAGCTGGCCACACTGGCATGCAGAACAAACTAGTGGAGGTAGGGCTCCAGGGGCCAGGGTGGACCTGTTGCCAACATCCTGAGCGCCACATAAAATAAAGATCTTGTGTCCTCCTACAACTAAAAAGTACTTTGAGCAAAACAATAAAAAGGAAGCAAGCGTCCGGCGCGGCTGGAGTGGTTCTGGGCTCAGTCCTGGCCCGGGGCTCTGCAGGGCCCGTCCCGCCCAGGTCTCCTTGTGGGCAGCGTCCGCCCTCAGGGCCTCGCACTGATTGCTCTGCACCAGGGCTGTGCCCCTTCGTCCGTCCAGCCTGCCATCTTCACAGCTGCCCTCCTAGTGACCCAGGGTCCCCAGCACCAAGGTGAAGGATCCACTAAGGGACATGCAGATGTCCCCAGGGCATCACATCTTCACCCCTGCCTGGAACAGGGCCTGTCAGAAATCTGAGGAACGTGCATTTGGTGCGTTTTGCTCTGGGGCAGTTCCTTTTGCCCTTGGAGGAGCCCAGAAAAGGCTCAGGAGTCAGACGTTCAGGGTTCTAGTCTCCGTAAGTTGGCGAGCACGAGCCTCCCCCCAGCTTTGATGTCACTCAGGAGAAGCTGCAGGGAGCTCATCAAAGGCCGGTGCCCAGGGCTGGGTGGAGGGCTTGGGCTCATGTCCAGCCCCCTCCCCCTGGAACCAGCCCTCCCTGAGGCTGGGGGCGCCGTTTCCCACCAGGCCAGCCCCCTGGGTGTGCAGAGTTGCTCTGTCCAGCCCCCAGAGCGCTGGAGCCTGCGCGTGGTGCTGTGATCTGGGACGAGGCCCATGCCTACTCCTGCGGGCCTTGTTTTAAATCCGAGGTCTCGGCTGCAGGGAGCAGATGGCGCCTCCCCCAGGAGTGCGGGGGTGGGGGGGTGGGGACGGTGTCAGGGCTTCAGGCGGTTTATTTGCTGTGGGCCTGGGCACCATGAGCAGGCCCTGGAGCTGTCGGGCTGAGGTCCCTGGCCTGGCTGATGATGCAGAGTGTCACTGAGAGCTTCCATCCTCTCAGCCACTCTCTGACCTTGGCTGCCACTGTGGTCCTCAGACCCGGTGCCACCAGCCAGCCCCAGGGCCTTTGCACTTAACATTTGTCCTTCCCTGTTCTTTGCCATGTCCTCGAGGCCTTCATGGCTCTTGCTTTCAGCCCAGCCTGAACCTCCACGTTTGCCTTCTGCCCCCGCCGCTTCTTGCCCGTGTGCGTGCTGAAGTCCACCAGCCCCGGGGCTCCGCAGGTAGCGCTCTGTCTTTCTGGCCTGCTGCCAGTGCCCTCCACACAGAGCAGGGCCCAGTGTTGGCCAGATGCTTTCCTTGGGGACGCTGTCATGTCAGCCATTGCAGACTGGCCGCTGGGCCAGTGTGAACTGTCAGAAGGACGCGCCTGTCTGCGGAGGGGGAAGTCTCCTGCCACCACGACTCTCAGGACGCTTGGAGGACCCCGTGGAGCCCTGTCCCTCCGTTCCTTGAGCAGCCCTGCATTCAGAGCCCCTCTGCCCAGGCTGCCTTCCTGGGACTCCACCTCAGGTTTGCAGGGCCCGGGTGGCGAATGACCCAGGACACCGAGTGTCACCAGCTGGAGCTGGCACAAACAGCACGCCCTCCCCTCCCTCAGCGGCAGTACCTGCCACTTCTACACTTGGACAGCCCCCCTTTGTCCTCGAGCCTCAGTTTTCGTATCTTGCCCGGGGGGAGGGGCAGCAGCTTGTGTGGGAACAGGCGGGGCGCGGGCCCTGCCTGGGAATCCAGGAGCCGTCTGTGAATGGTTCCTCACATCTCACTGTCCCCCACATGTGCTGGACTCCACCACTGTCCGGCTCTGCTCTGGGCCTCAGGGAAAGTGTGACCGGAGACAGACCCACAGAGCTTGGTCAGGGGCTCAGCTGGAGAAGGCAGCTTTCCAGGGCTGGGTGGTGTCCTGTTCCCAGGGAGATGCTTCCTGGCGGGGGCAGTGCCCGTGCAAAGGCCCTGCAGCAGCCGTGACTGGTGTGGGCGGCGGAAGGGCCCCAAGGAAGCCCGTGTGCTGGGGTACAGTGTTGGGGAGAGTGGAGGGCCAGACCATGCAGGCCGTCCCGGTGGGAGGGCCAAACTGAGACCTGCTCAGCCCACACAGCTCCTCCGTCCCCAACTCCTGTCTGCGCCGCTGCCCCTGAGCAGGGCGGAGCTGGCCAGTCTGCTCCCTTTAATCTCATTAGAAGGCCAGGCTGTTGCCCTAGTGACTGCCGACAGGCCTAACCAAGGCCACGCCGTCTGCAGTAAGGTGGGGATGGTGGCAGGGGAATTGTCACCTGGTGCCGCACAGGACTCCTCAGGAGACTGGGGACTGCCCCAGGATCTTGTCCCCTCTGGAGAAGTCGCCATAGCCGAATCACTACAGGCCTTCCCAGGGTCACCTGGCCACTGCTCTCCAGCCTTGGGACCCTGCTTCTCCCAACCTGTGGGGGATGGGGGATGGGCCTGCAGGAGCGTGGACACTGGGTGCAGCAGAGCCCATCAGCACAAGGGGCCTCCTCAGGCTTCATGGGATGGGGATTGAGGATTTTGTGCAGAAGGTCGTGGGACATAAGCAGAGGCTACACGGGAGGTGTGGGGGGTCCCTGCCTAGAAATGAGGGGCTGGGGCTGAGGGCAGGGCCAGAGGCTGCTCTTTACCTCGAGGGAGCTGGTGTCCTTGATAACTGAACCGCTGCTCTGACCAGGAGCACCGGGTCCACCTCTGGGCACAGTCCTCTGTTGTCTCCCACTGATCCCTGGTCCCAGGAGGGCTCTGGCCCCAGCCGTGCAGGGCCATGCAGGGTTCCGCTCAGGTGTGGAGTCCATGTCGTCTTGGCCACTTTCTAGCTGGGCAGCCCTGGAGCTTGCCATCCTCAGAAGGCCTGTGCGTTTGATGGTGTCACCCCAAAAGATATGCCAGCATCCTCGCTCCTAGAACCTGGGGTTGTGTCCTTAGTTGGAAATAAGGTCTCTGCAGATGTAACTAAAGGTCTCCAGATAAGCTCATTCTAGATTGGGGTGGCCCCTAAATCCAGTGACAGGAACTATCCTCCCTCAGTGTCCAAGGGGAATTGGCTCAGAACCAGGAAATGGATGGAAATCCATTTCAAGGACCTTCTGTAACATCTAGTGTGTGTAGATCTTGCGCATGCCCTCCCATGGACTTACCCCCGCCGCCCGCCGTTGCGGACCGTCTCCTTCACCGTGACTAGTGCTCAGCAGCTGCGTGGCCGTGCTGGATCTGCGCATCTTCAGTGTTAGTGAATTTTTTCTCCATGTAATTCTGATCTGCAGTTGGTTGGGTTCACGGATGTGGGACCTGCGGATATGGAGGGCCGACGCCATGACTATGACAGAAGGTAGCGGAGGGCAGGTCCAGAGAAGCCCGTGTCATAGGGGATTGGAGGGTCGTGGCCACAAGCCAGGGAGGGCCTCCCCCTCAGGTGGAAGCAGCACTGCGGATGCCGTGACTGGGCCTGCAGCCTCCTGGACCGTGAGAGAACACGTCCCTGTGGTTTGGGCCACCCAACCTGTGGTCCTTTGGCAGCCCCAGGATACTAACATGGCTGTCACGATGCTTAGCTGCATGGAGACCTGGGCATGGCTCTGCACCCCAGGGGAGAGCCTGAGGAACACCCAGTGGGCCCACCCCAGAGGCCCAGGGATGGGGTGGCACGAGATGACCAGAGTGTGTGCTCCTTCCAGTCCCTCACAGCCCCACTGACGCTGGGACCAACCTGAGACACCTCTGGGGCCTGGGAGGTCCCTTCAGAGCCAGGGCAGTGGCGGGGACATCTGTCCTCAACTGTCATCCCCTCTGACCCCAAAGGCCAGGCGCTGCTGAGTGGTTGGTCACAATCGAGGGTTTGAGGTTCATGGCCTGGGGATGGTGTTCTGGAAAAGTCCAGGGCTGCTGCTAGCAGGCAGCAAGCGAGGGACCTGTAGCACTTCCCTCAGGTCTGCCGCAGCCGCACAGCTCTGGTGCCAGACGCAGCAGCGACCATCCGACCAAGTCCCAAGTGCTGGCCATCTGGTGGGCTCGGGAGGCTAAAGGACGGACATTCATGAGGCGGGGCAGTTCAGACGTGGTCATTGAGGTGACACAAGCCAGGAGATTGTGGAGCCATGACGAGAGCACAGGTAGCCCAGCCGGTGGTGCTGTACCGAGGTCGTGGCTGTCATTTGACTCCCACGCTTCAGGAGTGAGAGGCGAGCTCTGAGGGACGCTGGGCGAGGGGTGCTCGGAGCTCTCAAGAGCATCTCTGCCATTTTCTGTAAATCTACAACTTTCCCGATAAAAACAGTGTCAGGACAGTCACAGAGCCAGGGCCTGCTGTGGCGGCGACGGGGGCTGCTCCTTGTGTGGGACAGGGAGGCCCCTCCAGGATGCGGGTGGAGGTGGGCTGGCACAGGAGAGGCCCTGCGGGAGCCGGGCTGGGCAGAGTACAAGGTGGGGGGCCAGGGCATCGGGGGCCCATTCCCATGACGGGGGAGTCTGGACTCTGACCCTGGTCTGTCTGACCCTTAGGCCACAGTGAGGGGCACCCTGGGAGCTGTGGCCTGGGCTTGACGTCCTCTCCAGGCTTCAGCTCCTCATCTATGGCCCTTTGTCGGCTCTCATGAGTCTGGGGTGGAGGGACGTTGTCTGGAATCTTCTGTGCCCTCCTAGGAGGTCCCTCCAGGGCCAGGCGTCTGGTCTGACCTTGGGTTACATCAAGGTCAAGACTGACTGTCACTGGAGTTGGGTAGGAGGGAGTGGCCGAGCCACTGACAGAGCCTTCCAGCCTCCTACCTTGGTCTTATATGGCTTGCAGGTGGGCCTGTCCCCAGCCGGTGACCATGAGCTCAGAGGGCAAGAGCAGTGGCGTCTGTCCATCCCTGCGTGTGTCCGTCCATTCACCCGTGTGCCCCGTGTGCGTGTGTCCACCAGCAGTGTTGCTGCAGTTCTGTGCGGTCTCTGGCTTCAGGAGCACAGCATGGTGGGGGACAGGATGATGACGCCGGGAGAGGGACATAACAAGGGATGTGGCGTGACCGCAGGAAGAGGTTGAGCTAACTCCAGTGCCTCAGTGCCCAGCAGCTCACTGAGCTGAGGCGTGAGGTCCACTGGGTAGAGAAGGGTCCTGCTCCCAGGGGTTTCCAGCCAGGCCTGGGGGGCTGTCAGTGCCTACAGATTCAGGGAGTCCCCACGTCTACTCTCAAGTTGGGCAGCGCCAGGAGGACTGCGCTCATCTGGAACTGTCACAGGGTGGATTATCACAGCAGAGGGACGTGAGTTCAGGTCAGAAAGGGAATTGGAGACTAAGCAGTGACTTCCAGTTTCCCCTCCAGTGGAGTCACGTGGACAGTGTTGGAACCTCCCAGCTGTGTGTGACAACAGGCATAGTGTACTGCCAACCGGGGATGTTCCCTGGCCTTGGGGGCTGAGGTTTTTACTGGGGGTTTGTCCTGTCCACGTGGATAATCACCAGGGTGGCTGACATCAGTGTCTAGTTCCTCCAGAAGCTGAGCTGATACTGGGTGGCCCAGGGCCTCCGCCCTAAACCACAGTGTGGACATGGACATCTAGGGTGGCCTGAGGCCCTGGGGATACAGTAACTCTTTTTTTCGTGGTACTAGGCATGGAACCCCGGACTCACAGGCTAGGCAGGTGCTTTGCTCCTGAGCTGCACCCCCAGCCCTTTCTATTTATTTTGAGACAGGGTCTTGCTAAGTTGCCCACACTTGCCTGGAACTTGGGATCCTCCTGCTCAGCCTCTCAAGTAGGCATGTAGCACTCAGTGACAACCGTCCTCCATGACATTCAGTCCGGACCTGCTGGGTTGGGGCATCACAGGAAAGAGGTTTGGACAGAGGTGGGACCTGGGGGCTGGGAGCATCCTGTCAGTGTCCGATCCTATGAGACGATCAGCAGGTTGGCCTCGGGCTCTTGCTGACGCCGGGTCTCCTGTGTGGACAGCACGAGCGCCTCCATTCGTGCCCGACCTCTGCGCACAGATGCGCCCTGTGACTGAGTCTAGGGAAGGGGAAGCCGAGACCTGGAGGGGTGGAGGGCTTAGGCCTCAGAGGCCACAAGGTCCACAAAAAGTGGACAGAGCACGGGCTCCTGCCCTACAGCTCTGACACAGGAGGATGTGGATGAGGTCGTGGGAGGTCGGAAGGGACCTGTGCCCAAGCAGAGCCGGGGGACAGGAGCTGCAGGGGCCCCACCCACCCTGCCTGGCCTCCCCCTCTGGCCTGCAGCTGGCCTGTTTGTCTCGCAAGTCTGCCAGGAGGGACGCAGTGGGGTGTTCTTGGTGGGCGTGGCTGACGGGCAGCCACTGTGGGCCGGGGCCTCCCAGCCTGACCCCGGGCCAGGCTGTGCAGGTGCGGAGAGCCACCCAGGAGCACACGAGGTTAATCTCGCGCTCAGCCCCACTGCAGCTCACAGGAAGCAGCTGTTTACCTGGGCGAGGTGCTCTGCTGGGCGCTCAGCCAGTTCCCGAGCTTCGCTTCCCCCTCCGGTGTCCGAGGCCCCCCAGGAAGCTGGGGCTGGCGTGGGAGAGCAAGCAGCCAGGCGGCCAGCTCCCGAGCCTGCCAGGAGCTGTTTGTGAGGGAACGCGAGCCGGCCTTGTTGTGTACACAGAGTGGACCTAGCAACCGCCCCTGCCGGGCCGCAGCCGACACTGCTCCCACCTTGCACCATGGCAGCCGCCTTCCCGGTGGCCGGGTAGGGATTGTGGGCCATCGTCCCTGAAGGTCATCTTGCCACCTGGGCCAGGGACCTCTGCCTTTGCTCCCTGCAGATTAGAATCAGCCTGGTGGGGAGGCGGGACCACCTCTCCGCCCTGTTCTGGGGCAGCAGGGTCAGTCAGGCAGCTGCAGGCCTTGCGCCAAGTGCTGGTCGCTGTGGAGTGAGCAGCAGGGACACCGCCCCATGAAGGTGCCTGCTTCAGCGAGGCCCGCGGGATACCCAGAAGGAGCCTGGGGACATGGGCAAGACTCCCAAGAACTCGGGCTGGGTCTAAGGGACTCGCTCAGCCACCCTGGTCTTGAGTAGGCTGCCACAGGGATCCGAAGGGCTACTCCTTGAAAGGCGTCATTGTCCTTTGGAGACAGCACTCTCTGATTCAGGCCATTGGAAAAATGGTTTCCCAGGTCCAGGGTTCCATCCGCAGCCAGGACAAGAAGTGGCTCCCGTGGGTGCAGGGCTCCTCTTGGGCTGGTGTCTGTGGTCTTCTCGCTCCTTTGCTTGCCTGCTGGGGCAGCCAGAGAGGCAGCTGCTCCCCAGCTTCACGATCATGGGCTTCCTTGGGGGTGCTTCCTGCCTCAGGAGGACCATTCCAGTGCCTCCAGATTCTCTGTCAGTTTTGGTCATGAGACAGTTGACCTCGTTGAGGACCCTGCAGTCTCCCTGGTGGATGTGCACCTCATCGCCTAGGTCCTGTGGGCACCTTGGGGGCTGGGGCTCTGTGAGGTGCACTCGGAGGTACCCCCTCCCTCACGACAGCGGGCAACTCGTCTTTTGCAGCTTCAGCTTCAGAAGTCCCAGTTCCTGCAACTGGGCCCGAGCCGTGGCCAGTACTACGGAGGCTCCCTGCCCAACGTGAACCAGATCGGGAGTGGCACCATGGACCTGTCCTTCCAGGTGAGCCCCCTGCAGCACTGCCTCCCCTGGGGGAGCCCCTATAGCCTCCCACCTGAAGTTGGTCCAGCTCTGACCCTTCCCTCACCACAGAGCATGTGCTGTGGACTCTGAGGGCAGTTGAGGTCACCCGACAATCGCCTGAGCCCTCCCTTCCCCTTCCTACTCTTTTTCTGTACTGGGGACATTAGGAAGCAGCGCTTCAGCCCTGGTTCACTTGCCTGTCCGCCAGCCTGTCCCCTGTGAGCAGACCCCAAAGCGAGCCCCCGTCTGGCCGCCTGTGAGCATTCCAGCAGCCCCTACACCTGTCCGCCTGCTGTGCGGCAGCGGGAAGTGCTCAGGGCCTCTGGGGCTTGGCTCGGTCCCGCCTCACTAATCCACAAGCCCAGCATTTCTCAGAAGGAGGCCCGGCCGCCTGACCCCACTTGTCTGCAAACGTTTCTTGGCAGAGACCCACACAGCGGCTCCCGCAGGCTGCAGGCCGCTGCACACGGCCTTATCGAATACAACGGGAGATAAGGTCCCAGGATCCTCTGCCTGGCCTCTGGTCTGCAGGTGGAAGCAGGAGCCGGTGGTGGGGTCAGGCTGTGATTCAGGGCCACCTTCAGGGCAGTGTCTGGGCTCTGCATGGACAGGTCCCCCCAGTGATCACACTGCCGTCCAGTGCTGGGGAGAGTTGTGGAAATAGCCCTGTCCCTGAGTGCTGGCAGGCCTGGTGGAACTGAGGGCCGTCTCCCGGGAGCTCAGTGTCTCTCACACCGTGGCAGGGATGGGTGCCACCGCAGGCTGGCTTGGGGTCTGCCGGGATCGGTTCCTCAGGGCGCCTCATCTAGCAGATGCTCAGGGCTCTCCTCTCTGGTTCCCTGCGTCCTCCCGGTTGAGTCCCTTGCTGAGTCGGGTCTCCCCGCCCCACCCCCCAGCTCTCCCTTCCTCTGTTTCTGCATCTCTTCTTCCTTCCAGAAGGACGTCTCTCTGGGCATCTCCTCTGCTCAGCCCCACATGGGGCCCAGACCAAGCCCTCTCAGGCATGGGGTGTGGGGTCCTCCTGGGCATCTGTTGCGGGAGGCTCATGGCCTGGGGCCCACGCGTCCTGCCTGCTGGGCATCTCAGAGTCTCGGTTCTTTGCATTTTCAGCCCAGCGGATTTCTGGGGGAGGCCCTGGCAGCGGCTCCTGTCTCTCTGGTAATTGAGCCCCCAGGCTGAGGCTGTGGCATCCCCAGCGCCAGCCTGCAAGACCCTGACATGTGTGAGGTTGCTGGTGTCCCCCAGTCCCCCATGTGGCTGCCCCTGTGGCTCCCAGGGAGACATCCTGTCCACCAAATGGAAATGGATCTGCTCCCCACTCCTGTCTCGGGAAATATGTATGGTTGCATCAAGAGCCCCCACGCCCCACACTTGGGGTCTGCCTGGGGCAGATGCCACGTCTGCATATCCCAGTCTGGGGTCCCCCTGAGCAGAATCCGAGCATGTGCCCCCAGCGCTGCATGGTCCATCCCTCCAAACACATGCACGTCCGCGTGTGCACGTGTCTCGTGGGGCCAGCAGGCAGGGCTTGGTGAGCTGGGGCGTGGCTGGCCCAGCTCCGTTCCCCTCTGGCTCGGCTTCAGCCGCCTTGGTTTCCCCTTCGGGTTTCAGACTTTCTGAAAGATAAGTGGCCCTGCCCTCTAGGCCCCACAGCGAGCCTCTTGGGGACAGAAGTGTAGCAATACCCAAGCCAGCAGGGTCTCCACTGGGTGAAAGGCAGATTTGGGAGTCCCCATTGAGTCCCCTGGACAGGCAGCCCTGAGCCCTGGTAGGTGGGAAAGGACAGCAGTTCCGGACACTGACTTTGTCCTGGAAGGGGCGGTTCGTTGAACCGCAGGGTTGCCTTTTGCTCAACTGCCCAGAGAAGACAGCAGGGCCAGGGACCAGATGGCTAGGTAGGGGGACCCACCGTGTCCAGAACTGGCAGAGGCAGCTGACCTAGCTCTGGTCAGATGGTAAGAGGGCAGCGCAGGGCCAGGGTAGGCAGAGTGCAGGCTCCCAGCGCCCCCTGGCGCACAGAGCCTGGCAGGGGCAAGGCCTGGCTGGGGACCTCGTGCAAACCCCAGGTGCTGGAAGGAAGCCCCATCCGGTGAAGTTGTGGGCCAGGGCTCTGGGTGGCGCCTGGCTAAGGTGGTGAGGAGGGTGTGTGAGGCCCAGTTTCCGTGAGGAGCAGCCTTGGGCTTAACTAGGAAGCCGCCTGGGAGCAGCGCTTGGCCAGGTGGGCCAGCAGCAGTTCTCTGCAGAAGCCCCCGGCCCTCCCTTGGCAGCCCCTCCAGGGATGACGCAGCAGGGCATAGAAGGCCGTCGGGCCCTGAGGGAGAGGGCGGAGGCCTGTGTGCACCTGGTAAGGCCGGGGCGGAGGTTGCTCAGGCCGCCGCACCCCTGGCACCCTGGCCAGCACTGGGCCCCGAGCTTGTGCCGCTCTGCCTGGCCCGTGCATGCCAGCTGCACTGCACGCCTGTCCCCGGCGCCAGACACCCTGCCAGCTCTCGCACCCCCATCCCCAGTGCTCGGAGGGCTGGGGAGCTGGGGCCTCAGAGACACCCGTCTCAGCCTTCAGAATGGTATCCAAGGGTGTCTCTGGAGTGGGTGGCCCTGAGATTAGATCCTGGGGCAGAGCAGGGGAGATACCAGGTCACAGTTGATAATCACTGTTTGGGTTTCTCTGTTTCAATTTCCCCCCACCCCCTCCTTGTTCCCAGACACCCTTCCAGTCCTCAGGCCTGGACACCAGCCGGACTACCCGACATCATGGGCTAGTGGACCGAGTGTATCGGGAACGTGGCCGGCTTGGCTCCCCGCACCGCCGGCCCCTGTCAGTGGACAAACATGGACGGCAGATATCCTTTTTCCCAGAGAACATGTAGGCAGGGATGGGGTCCCCCGGTCAGCAGCTACACGACCCCGAGTTGGCCTGCAGTTGCTGATGGGGGGCCTGCTGCTGGCTCTGGAGATGGACTCAGCCACCCAGGGGGCTTCCTAGAGCAGGCAGTGCCACAAGCCAAGGAGCCTTTGTTCTGACCCCTTGGAGCTAGGGTGGCCCAGGGAGCGCCTCCCAAGGCAGGAGCTGAGGCAGGAGACACTGGCCCACAGAGGGTCCTAGCAAGGCAGTGGGGCCCAGAGGGCCATGAGTGGGAGCCCGTGTCTCAGGACTGTAGGCTGATGGGGCCCTCGTGGGCAGTGCATGGGGTGCCCAGCCCAGGCAGCTGAGGGAAGGGTCTGAGGGTGGCTCCATTTCTACAAGACGAATGTAAAATTTGCATCTGTTCCTCGGCCAAGCAGAGATCTGCCAGATTCCCCCCGCCCCAGCTCAGCCACTCCTTGGTGCTCCGCCAGCCGGGCCCCCAGCACCAGAATCTGAGCAGCCTCAGGTGGTTCCTGGGATCCCCAGCTCTGCAGAGCAGACGCCTGTTCTCTGCTGCTCATTTCCGCGGGCTGGGGAAGCACAACCAGCTGAGTCCCAGACCGGACCCTCAGGCCCCGGGAGCGGCCCCATCAGCCCAGAATAAAGAGGCGAGACCAGGGTCAGCTGAACCAGACTCCCCGCTGTGCCTGCGGCTGGTTTCACGGTGCAGGCCCCTCTTGGACGGGGTGCAGGCCGCACGTGCACTTGCAAGAGGACAGCGTTGAGTGGTAGGTGGAGTGGGGCCGCACCCCCGGGGAGCCCCTATGGCCTGGGCTGCTCACAGCCAGGCAGGAAAGGCCGGCAGGAAGCGCCTGTGAGGCAGCAGTGGACACCCCGCCCCGCCGGCCCCCAGCTGTGTGCGGGCCTGGCCGCCACTCCTGCAGCTCCAGCAGCAGGGCCGCTGGGCTGCAGGGGTCTTCCTGCTCAGTGGCCACGAGCACTTCGGTGCAGGCAGGCCCAAGCCCACAGTGCGTCCCCTTAACTCACACTCACGCCGACAGCTGTCCATACGGCTCCGTGTATCTGTCACCACCCGCGGACACCAGCTGGAGGAGGTCAGTGGGCAGAGCTGGCTCCCAGCCCCCACCCACTCGGTGGGAACAAAACTAAACTTTCACCATAGTAGTGCATAGAAAAGCCGTGAGGGCGGAGTTACTCAAAATGAGAAAACGAAGACACATCCCCGAGTTTCTAGAAATCACTGTCACTCTATAATGCCAGCGCTCTGCCTAGGAGATCTTCAACCCATCCTCACTTTTGTCTGTTTCTTTATTTTCTTTACCCCAAATTGCCACTTGCTGTTTCATTTGATGCTTGATGAGCAGTTTTTCATGTTACCGAACAAATTATTGAAGATGCACTTGTTACAGGCTGAGTGCAGCGGCGCATACGTGTCATCCCAGCGGCTCTGGAGGCTGAGGCAGGAGGATCAAAGTTCAAAACCAGCCTCAGCAAAAGCGAGGCACTAAGCAACTCAGAGGGACCCTGTCTCTAAATAAAATCCAAAATAGGGCTCGGGGTGTGGTCCAGTGCCCCTGAGTTTGATCCCCGCTACCCTGCCCCCTTAAAAAAGTTTTCTAGGCTTGTGCTAGAAGACTAGGAAAATGCATAAAGGTGTATAGAAGAGAAAAAGTCACATCTTTAGAACTCTGCATAGCATTCATGGTGCATTAGGTGCTATAAGTCATCTACAGATGTGCTTAGAGTCTACACAGATGCCATTTCATAGAAGGGACTTGAGCATTCATGGATATTGGTGTCTGAGGAGGATCCTGGGACCAACTTTCCAAGGAACAGATATGGAAAGACAACTGGATACACATGCACACCACACGCACAACTATATGTGCACACGCGCACACATAATTTCATGACATGATACAGTCACGTAGTTAAGTATCCACCAAGCACACATTAGCTGATACACAACAGACAACTGTGTGGCTTCGGCTGTTTTCCCATTTTAGACATAGACATTGAGCACAGAGAAGCCAGAACACTGACTCAGGGACACACAGCTGGTTGGGGGCAGGGCTAGGATCCAGGGTTCAAGACTCCTTTAACCTGCGCCATTGTATCCTTTTCTCCTTGGACCACGTTTCCTCTAGTCACTCTTAGAGGCTGGGATATCTCCACTGGGCGCACATTGGCCCTTAGTCTCCTCCTTGGATTGACAGCTCTGCAGTTGGACCCCCATTTTCCTGTCTAGGAGTTGTTCTGGGGACCCTCCCTCGAGGCACTTCTAGCTGGGAACAGATTGGCTGACCCTGGTCTTTTTTTTTTTTTTTTTTTTTTTTTTGTTTCCAGGGATTGAACCCACAGAGCCACATCCCCAGCCCTTTTTTTCTTTTATTTAGAGACAGGGACTCACTGGCTAATACTCTGAGGCTGGCTTTGAACTTGCAATCCTCCTGCCTCAGCCTCCTGAGCTGCTGGGATTACAGGCGTGGGCCATCATGTCTGGCTCACCCTGGCCTTTCTTGTCAGTTTCCCCACGGGAGTTCCCAGGACGGAGTCTCTACCAGGTTCCTTCCAGGGTCCAACCGGTTGGAGCAGGACTGCCCCTCCCCAGTCGGTTTCCCACCAAGGGGGCACCCAGGGGTCTCTCTGAACCTCCCTTTCTATCCATCACAGCATGTTTGAGACTGAGCATCTAGAGGAGATACTCACCCACTTGTGTTTGTCACCAGGAGGGGAGCTAGTGACAGGCTGCACACTCAAACCCCTTAAGGCCAGGTCCCTGTGGGACCATCAGGCTCCCTCTGGGAATTTCAACAGGAAGGGCCATCCTATCCCTGAAGCCAGAACTCCCTACTGAAGGGGCAGGCAGGGGCGGTTGGGAACAGAGGGACAGCTTTGCTGTTGATCTGGATTTCGGTGGGCTTTGTGGACAAAAACTGCCTGAGTCCAGTGGTCCTGTTCAAAATGATGTCCTTCTGCTCAGGTGCAGCAGTTTGAAAAATGACTACATCTGCCACCCTGTCCCATGGGGTATGTCCTGGGCAGGGCACATAGTGCCAGGGCTGTAGCGTGGCTGTGGTCATGACTCCTCTTCATTCTGGGGGGGTCTCACTGTCTCTCCCCTCTCCCCCAGGACCAATTCAGACTCCGCCCTTCACCAGAGCACAATGACGCCCACCCAGTCAGAATCCTTTACGGGTGGATCTCAGGATGCACACCAGAAAAGAGGTATGAGAGGGGACTCGGTGTCTTTGCTGGGATCAGGCAAGCCCAGCAGGTGGCCCTTGTGCTCTGGAGGTTGGCAGTCCATGGGTGGACAGGCTTTCAAAGAAGGACCCAGGCTGTGCCAAGGACAAGGAGAGGGGCTCAGGGAAACTTCAGAGTGGGGCTGCTTGGATTGGGTTTTAAAGGATGCATGGGAGTTTTCTAGGCAGAGAAAGCCTTGCAAATACATGAGAGTCCAGGATTCATGGATTCAGGGTAGGGCCGTGAAGACTGGGTGCTGTTCAAATAATTCTTTCAAATGCAGGGGCAGTGAGCCTGTAAAAGGGGCATTTACCAGCTCAGGACTGCAGTCTAGGGTCGGACCTCTAGCTTCAGGCACTGCTTGATCTAGGATTTCACACTGGACTACTTTCCAGCTGTGCTGCTAAGAACTGTCCCCTGCAGCTCCTGAGCTCATCCTGGCTATAGCGGGTGAGAAAGGGCCCGTCTCTCCCCAGCTCTCGCTAGGTGCCTCCTCTCCAGGCCGCTGTGCCCAGGTCCTCAGCTCTGCCCTGGAGCCAGGCATGGAGGCAGCATCCTGGGAACCTTCAAGGCGAGTAGATGTCTTAGAGACTGGGGAGCTGCCAGGCGCAGTGGCACACGTCTGTAATCCATTAATTTGGAAAGCTCAGACAAGAAGATCCAAGTTCAAAGCCAGCCTCAGCAACTTAGCGAGGCCCTGAGCAACTTAGTAAGACCCTGTCTCAAAATAAAAAAACAAAAAAGGACTGGGGGTGTGGCTCAGCAGCTAAGTGACCCTGGGCTCAACCCCAGAACCAAAACAGTGAAAGCAGAGCTGGGTAGTGTCATCTAGAGAGGGGTTGTCGATGCTGTGAGGCCATGTCCGGGAAGCCCCACGTGCATGTCATCTGGCCTGAGACCCCGAAGCCATAGAGTGACCTGGAGTGAAATGCCCAGGTGCCTCTTTTTTTGTGATAGTGTTTCACCGGGTGGGTGTATAAATATGCCAGGAGACCCTGCCGATAGGATTGTCACTGGAACCTGGGCCCTGGGAGTCCCGACAGCCAGGCAACAGGTGCAGGAGGTAGAAGGGCAGGTTCTGGGGTGCCAGCCTGGGTCACCTCCCCCCGGCCTGCAGGCACCGCCTGGGGCCTTCTTTCTGTGGCCAGCAACGAGACTCTCCTCAGATTGCTGCCTGTCCTGGTGGGTCCCCGCAAGCACAGGGCTTTTAGAGGGTAGGCAGGCACAAGGATGTCACTGTCCCTGAGGACGCTCTGTGACCATGGGAGGAAGGCAAGACCCAGACCCTTGCTGCTCAGAATCCAGCTGGTCTTGGAGTCACAATCAGAGGCATCACTCATCCCTGTGCTCCCAAGAGGGGCCCAGGCAGTGCCAGGGTTGGAGTTCCTCTGCGTCTCGCCACACCTGCCAGCCCACGTGTCACAGAGTGTGTGACAGATCTGGCTGGTTCCTCGTGGCGCGCTCAGAGGCGAATGAAAAAATAGCACCTCTAGCAGGTACAGAGGCGGGGCAGCGGGCACTCTTGCCTCGACTGAAAGTCTAAGGAACAGGCTTCAGCCGTGGCTGATCTGAGTGATGCCGTCCTGTTCCTCCGTTCTGTCCCTCCATCCTTCTGGACCCTCTGTCTTAGAACAGTCGTCACAGCTGACTCACAAGGCTGCTGTCGTTGTGCCTGCTGACATCAGGCCTAGTGGCTGACCCCCTGTGCTCGGTGCTGGTGACCCAAGAGGAGCCCAGCCAGCACCGAGAGGGGGGGCAGCCGCCCACACAGACTACGCTGTCTGCTGCCCATGGAGGTGCCACGGAGGCCGGGTCAGTGCCAGGAGGCGGACTCGACACGGCCGCGGGCTCCAGGGCTTTGGTTTTTATTTCTTTGTAAGATACAGATTCTCGGGCTTATCTGATCTTTTAAAAAATGAGACCCTTTTTTGTAACTTTAGTAGAAGCCCCAGAAATGACCATGAGGAAAGTTCCAGCTTCACCCCGGCCCTGGCCGTCAGGGAGGTTGTCCTCTTTCTGAGTGTCCCCCTCCCCTGTCCCAGTCTTACTATTAACAGTCCCAGGAATGGAGGAGACCACGACCGAAGCAGATAAAAACCTTCCCAAGCAAGCGTGGGACACCAAGAAGGTAAGAGCCCGGGGCTCCGGAGGCCTGTTCCTTGCTCCTTCAGGCCAGGCCGGGACGAGATAACAGAGTGACGCATGGAGGTGGGTCGCCCTCCCAGACCTGCCCCCGCACAGATTTGCCTGTGCTTGGGTTCCGGGGGCCCTTAAGCCTGCTTAACGCTAACAGCAGGACTGTCACACGGCAGAAGCCACCCGTTAAAACCCGTGGCTGGTCAGGTTTCAGCAGAAAGTAGAGCAGCACAGATGGCCCATGCCAGCCCGGCCACGGCCACCTGGGTGTGGGGCAGGAGGACGGTGAGTGTGAGACCCCCCTGGGCAACTGAAGGGAGACCCTGTCTCCAAAAGGAGAAAAACCGCTTCTCCCTCCAAGAAAGAAATGGAGCAGCCGCCCTAGGAGGCTTTTCAGGGGTGTTGACACAGGAACTCCCCCCTTGGGAATGCAGTTGTAGCGAGGGGGTGCATTTAGAAGCGCTTATGCAGAGCTTTCGGAATAAGCGGGAACCACCCGAGTGTTAGCAGGGGTTTGTTATGAGATGACCCCCAGTCGCTCTGAGTTGGGATTTTAAAAGGAATTCTGAGGAAATAAGAGACACTCGTGGTAATGCAGTTACCTCGCAAGGTCAGGATGGGGGTGCTTGAGAGGGGGGTGCTCAGGGTGCAGCAGTCGCCCTCAGCACCACACAAATCAGGAAGAGAAAAAGCAAAAAAAATCTAACCCGAATGAAACCGCACAACCACTAAATGTCTGGTAAAGCCGAAAAGTAGGTCCTGGTCCGTTGGCGCAGCTGGATGTCACCTTTCCATTACAGAGAGCAAAACAGGCTATTGCCTCGGAGGGGCCCTAGGGATGGCGGAGAATGAGGAGTGGCTCTTCAGTACTTCAGAAACCCGTTAATGTCTCCCGTAAAGTTCGTGGAAGGCTTTTCAAAGTATCCCTAAGAAAGCTGGTGCCCGCGGGTGGTGCAGACGCTGGTCCTGGAGGGACTGTCCACTCCAGCATGTGGAGCCCCTGGCCCCGTAGAAACCCGTCCCTGGGCATTTGCTGCGGAGGCCTGGCGCCTGCTGGCTCCCTGCCACCACTGTACCCGAGGTGCGGCTGCCAGGCAGAGCCTCCCTCCACCAGCGGGCGCGTCTTCCCCCCCTGGTGGTTCCTGAAAGCTCGCCAGCAGTGTCGTCCCAGGCGCTGGCGGCAGACTAGAAATTAGAAAACGTGACTCGCTTGGAGGCTCCTCTCAGGAGACGGGACTGTCTCTGTCACGCCCATGAGGTCAGAAGCACAAGTCCTGGGGGCCCTGCCTGTAGCCACAGTCCCCGGGCCCCACAGGATCCTGTCTCCCTGGCCTTCGTGTCCCCCACTCACAGAGGAGCAGACCAAGTCCTGCTGCCCAAACGCTTCCCTGGCACCTCTCCCTGGGGCCAGCCCACAGGGGAGCTGGGGAGGGGCGCCCAGGGCTGTCCTGCCCAGCCAGGGAGGCCCCTGCAGCACAGCAGGCCTGGCACTGGGGTCGCAGTTTACTTTTCCGTTGCTGAAAGTCCAAAGCCCGGGCAGCAGGGCTGGGCTGTGGCCCTGAATTCAGAGGCCAGTGTGGGCCGTGCCATATGAAGTGCCCGAGCCAAGGTGGGATTTCTTCTCCCCGCCGTGGTCCGCGTATTCTGGAAGTGTTCCTAACCAAGCACTGAAACTGGCGTTGCCCCAGAGGCTTCCCAAGCCCTGGTCCATGGACACATGAATGCCCATATGGCAAAGAAGTGCTTTGGGACCAGATGGGGGCCACACCTCTGAGTGTCGCAGGAGGGCAGGTCCTCATGGAAGGAGAGGCCCCCTCGTGGGAGCCTCTGGACCGAGTTGAGGCGTCTGGCCCAGCCCACCTCATTCTTCCTGACCTGGTGCCCTCCACTGCTTTGGTGGCTTCTCATGGACTCGCCCCATGGCCACCAAGCAAAAAGCACCCCTGCTCTAGGCGCCCCAGCTGTCTCCGTCCAGGGACAGTGTAGAGGTGGGGGAAGCTTGGTGAGCACTCAGCCCCGGGCACCCAGGCCCCAGCAGCCCCTCTGCACAGCTGACAGCGTACTGCCATGGAAAGCCCTGGGGACATGAGGAGCTGGCACACAGGTTCTGCCCAGATGCCTGCTCTGACAAGGCACCACGTCACCCTCTGTCTGTGGCCCCCACCAACCGAGCAGCCAGAGTGGAACTGTGCCCTCTCCCTGCCAAGGGCAGGAGCTGGGGTGGGGCCTGTGGGAAGAGCCTCCCCACATGACTCTTGACTCTAGGCTCAGCTTCCTCTGGGCTCTGCCCCTCTACCTGGTGGGGCCACTTGTGTCCTCTGTGGGACACTCAGAGGCCACTATGGGCCGTGCCATATGAAGTGCCTGAGCCAAGGTGGGATTTCTCCCTCCCCGCGTGGTCCGCGTATTCTGGAAGTGTCCCTAGCCGATAAGCTTGGTGCTCGTGGAACAGCTCTTGGCACAGTGGGAAGGTCGCACAGTGTACATGAAGAGGCCCCGGGGCGCTGGCTCAGCCTCTGCTGTCTTCTCTTTCAGACGGGGTCCAGGCCCAAGTCCTGTGAGGTCCCCGGAATCAAGTAAGTCCCTGCAGGGCCTTCCCACAAGCCCTCAGCCATGGGGGCTGCGTGGGCTCCCCCAGGCTCCCACCCGCCAGGAGCCTGCACGTCCTGGTGAGGGACACCACGGTGGCCACCCAGCAAGTCCTGTCTTGGGCCGGTTCCAGCCCCTTGCTGCCCGAGTCAGAGCCTCCTCAGACATACCCTGTCCCTGGAGAGAACAGCCCTCCCTGGGCAACAGAAAAGTGTTGTCCCCACCCTCCCCTTCCCCTCCCTGGGGGCAGGCTGCTTCCTGAAGTCACTGGTGATGCCCCGACAGCCATCTTATGAGCCTGGCAGCACCTGACTGAGGAACGTCATTTTACACCTGCTCGTATTCTCCTGATAGCCCCCTCCTGCCCCTGCCACAGTTTCTGGGGGCGACCCGGCCGGTCGGCTGGCGGCTGTCCCCAGACCTCACCTCTGCCCCTGTCTGGCCTTCCCCCAGCATCTTCCCATCCGCCGACCAGGAAAACACTACAGCCCTGATCCCCGCCACCCACAACACGGGGGGCTCCCTACCCGACCTGACCAACATCCACTTCCCCTCCCCCCTCCCGACCCCTCTGGACCCCGAGGAGCCCACCTTCCCTGCGCTGAGCAGCTCCAGCAGCACTGGCAACCTCGCCGCCAACCTGACTCACCTGGGCATCGGTGGCGCCGGCCAGGGTAAGGGCCCGCAGCATGGCCCCAAGCTCGAGGTGCCCGGGCTTTGCTCCTTGGTAGAGGACTGTCTCCTGAAGGTGGCATGTCCATTCAGATGGTGGCTAAACAGTCGTGTCCACAGTGCCAGGCACCTGGAGGGTGGAGATGAGGGGTGACAGACCTGCCGCAGGGGCTCAGCATTGCCAGGCTGACCCACAGGGAAGGCCCCCCCCTCCGCCTAGGCCCAGCCTGGGCAAAGAAGGGTGGGGTGTGAGGGGTGCATGCTGCCTCCAGGGGTCCAGTTGCAACTTTGAGAGTACCAAGTGGCTTCAGAGAGGCTGGGGAGCCTAGGAGCAGAGCTCCGGAAGTGGGTCATGCTGTCCCCCATCCCTCCTTGCCCCACCCCCTCACTGGGGACAGAAATGGGCCCGACCTGCTCCTCATCACGTCAGACAGCTTGCTTTGTGACATTTTATTCTGGCCCCTCCCTGTTCTTTACACCTGTTCCTCCCCTGGCCTGGTCCAGGGCTCGTCCCACGGGCTCTGGGCCTGTCCCAGGAGCTCCCAGCTTTGCTCTGTTCCTGTTCTTTCTGGGGATTGTCCACTGGTGGCTCCCTGAGGACTGTGGAGGTATCCCCTCTAACTCCTGTGTTCTCTCTCTCTCTCTCTCACACACACACACGCACACACACACGCACACACGCACAACACCCTTCCTTTATTAATCTAGACCCGGCAACTCTTCCATGGGGACCTGACCCAGCTTGACCCTTCCTCCTGCTCACTTGCCTCGGCCCTGCCCAGCCTCTTCTCTGACCTAGAACATGACCAGCCCATAACCTGCCTCTGTTGGGCCTCACCTCCCTCCCCATACAACCTTTGGAGCCCGGGTCACCCTCCACCCTCCTTCTCGTCTCCCTGCTTGCCCCACAGCTGGATGAACTCACTCAGGGCCTTTGCACATACTACCCTGATCCTGTGCTGCTCCCGCCTTACCCACCTCGTCCTACCTGTCCCCTGACTGTCCCCTGACCTCTCATGCTGTGCTGCGTTTCTGTATTTGTTCTTAGCGTTGCCACATGTTCTTCAGCTGTCCCTTGCACTGGGCCTCAACCTCCCGGGTCCCTGCCATGACACCTATACCCTTTGTTTGCTGTTTAGGGTGTGCATTTGCATCTGGGGCAGGCATCTGACTTCCAGAGAAGAGATGCCCCAGGTAGTAGGACAGGCAGAAGGGCTTCTGGGGGGCCCATAGCGGGTGTGGATGACACAGGCCCTGTTAGACCCAGAGCCATAGAACAAGCCAACACTCTCCCCACCCGTGAGCCCATCCTGCCTCCGCTACAGGTTCAGCGGCAGCTCCACGCAGGCTTTTCCATGAGAGCATCACACGCTAAAATGCATACTTGGCAGAGTCCCCCTGGCTGCCCTGGGAGAAGGGGCTCTCAGGAGGGTGTTCAGGGTCTGGAGAGAGTGGGAATCTCGTTGGGTGCTTTGCAGATAGATGTCAGGGTAACACTAACCAGCCTGGGAGCCAGGTCACCCGAGGTGGGGCAGCGAGCAGGAAGCCCTAACTTGCTCCTGTTGCAGGTGCCAGCAGGGCAGGGGGCGGGCAAGATGATGCCAGGTGTGTGTGTGTGTGCGCGTGTGTGCACGCACGCGTGCTGCTGGGCATCAAACCAAGGTCTCTCCTGTGCTAGGCAGGCTTCCTGCTACTGAGCTCCCTCCATCCCCCAGAGACCTGGCCAGACAGGTGGCGCCTGCCCGCACATGGCCTGTGCAAAGTAAAATCCAAAGGTCAGCTCTGGGGCTGCCAGTGCCCCCGCCCCGCCAGTGCAGAAGCCACCAGCTTCCACACCCGTTCTCCCCACGCCAGAGCTCCCCCTCCGCTGCCTGCGGGTCCTTGGCAGGCCCCCAGAGCCTGCACCTCCATCCCGCGCCCAGTCTAAGCAAGCACAGGAAAGAGCCCACGTGGAGGTGTGAGGCGGCCAGGGTGTGGGCCCTGAGCACCGGCCCAGGAACACCAGCGCCATTGTTTGTGGAGCTGCCGCTGCAGCAGCTCCCGAGCAGGGACTCTGCTTTCTGGGTGCTTTTTAAATAAAGCTGAGCTGCTGGCCACCGGCGCACATGCGTGTTTACCCGCTCCGGGCCCCACCACCAGCCCCACGGGGAAGAAGAGGCGCGGGGGGCAGCCCCGGCGTCTCACATTTGCAAAAGCTTTGTCCTGGCTGCTTGCCAGGTCTTGGGAGGGGGGCAGGCCCTGGGGGCCCTTCCTGGCACAGCTCCGAGGCCAGCCATGCCTGCCAGCAGGGCTTGCGTGCCACAGGGCGGGCTCCTGCCACCTGGCCCACCCGGCCCGCCCTCCTGGCAGCTCTCCCTGCCCGCCCGCCCCAGAGTTCCCCTCCAGCTGGCCGTGTTCCTGCTCCAGAGGTGAGCCAGGTTGCTGAAAGGCATACAATAGCAAGATGCTGTGTGTGCCCTGCTGGCCCGACTGGCCCCTCTGGGGTGGTGGCCGCCCTGTGTGAGGCTGGGCACTTGCCTGGCAGCCCACAGGGAGTTAGACTCGTATTCAGGACAGATGTTGGAGGTGGGCAGCCGAAGGGCAAACCAGCTGGTGGTGTGTTTTGTGTGGTACATGATTGTGTGCATGCGTGTGTGCGTGCGTGTGACTTCAAATCCACATTTAAAAATCAGGCAGCTGGTGTGGAAGCGTTGGTTTCCAGCTTCTCTTGGAGAGAGAAGGCAGGTGACAGCAGGTCAGTGTTCTGCGCTGATGATGAGCCACGGGCCCCACGTCCACCTCCTGCAAGCGCTTAGCACAGGCTGTGCCCCTTACTGAGCCCTGACATCTGCTCCTGACCTGAGCACCAAATGTTCCTTGGCCCCACCAAACATACAAGATAATTGGTGCCCAGACCCAACAGGGCGGCCTGCGGTCCTGACTCCTAGTTTCCTCTGAACAGGTGCCTCCCAGACTTCTCCTGCTTGGTCTTTCATTGATGTCCCCTTGACATCATTGGTCCTGATGCCCAGGGTCTGTGCAGACACCAGCCCTGCCCCCCTCCCATGTGAGCTGAGCAGAGCCAGCAGGGGGTCCACGGGAAAGTCCAGGCATGACCCAGCTTGCCCCAGCGAGCAGCTGCCCTGGGCATGGGGAAGACTGCCTGTTGTCTCCTGGCATGTGCTGGGTGTGTTCCCACAGACCCGTAAACCCGCCGCCCCGTCTGCCAGAACACAGTTTCTTTGGTGCCCTGGGCGGATGGGCCCCGGATCTCCCGGGGTGAGTCAGGCAGTTTCAGCCGGCCTTGGCTGCAGGCCAGACTCTCCCAAGCCCGCTTGTGACCTCACTGGGGCTTCACGGTGAACCTGAGTGCAGCTGTTACCATCTTCATCTCACTGACAGGGAAACTGAGTGTCAGGGTGGGTGTGGGTCAGGCTGGGCCCCAGGGTTCCTCTCATGAGGCCTGCTGTGTGCTTGGCATGGTGCCCAGGAGAGCCCAGCAGCCCAAACCGCTGCCACCTTGTCCTCGATCTTACCTGCTCTTTCACCACAGTGGTATCCAGGGGATCACATTGCTCAGGGTGAGGGCCTCGGAGGCCAGGGTGAAAGAAGGGGCAAGGTGCAGGCTCCTGACAGGAGCCCCTGCAGGGACGGGGAGAACGTGAAGGAATCAGGTCTGAGTTGGGCAGCCTGGGGGGGGGCACTCTGGTGCAGGAGGATGGCGTGGATTGGGGTACTGTGGAGCCATGAGGGGCTGCTCAGGGAGCAGACATGCTCATTGGAGGAGGAGCGCTGAGCCTGTGGAGGAAGCCGCAGCACAGACTTGCCTAAAGCTATCTCTGACCTGAGCCCACTTCAGCACAAAAAGGGGGTTTATTGTCTGAAGCCAGGAAATACCACTCTGGCTGGAGAGAGGCTCAGTCCTTGCCTGTCCCCTTCAGCCCTCCAGCTGGTGGATCTTTTCCTTGTGTGGAATGTGCCCCCCCACCAGACAGCCCTTCCTGGAGTTTCCATCCAAAATCCCAAGGCAGGCTCTCATTGGATCAACCTGGTCACATGCCTGTCTGGGGACCAATCGTGCTCCAGGAGTGGGGAAGTGCTGATTGGGTTTGTGCGTCACACCCCTGCTGGAGGAGTGGTGGGGTCAACTAGGAGGGCAAGAGGAAGACGGCCGCACCGGGTGGAGGGACTCCCCAGCTCTGGCCACTGGGAAGTGCCCACTGGCTTCTGTCTGAGCACCTGGGCTGTCCCTATGCAGCGTGACTGTGGGGGTGTGAGTGGCTTTGGCCTCCCTCACACCGTCCTCCCCGCCTCCCTTCTTCCTTTCCAGGGATGAGCACGCCGGGCTCCTCTCCACAGCACCGACCTGCTGGTGTCAGCCCGCTGTCCCTGAGCACAGAAGCAAGGAGGCAGCAGGCCCAGCAGGTGTCGCCCACCTTGTCCCCACTGTCACCCATCACTCAGGTGCGAGGGTGAGGTGGGTGGGGAAGGTGAGGGCTCAACTCTGCCCCTCCAAGAGGCCCCTGCCCCTTCAGGGGACGGTGGAATCCAAAAGATTCCCTGTTGATTTTCAACCACAGGGAAAATGTACGAGTCAGCGGTCCTAGAGTCCCCTGTGCCTGACCTGGGCAGAGGCCATGAAGGGGGCTCCTGCGGGTCCTATGAGCATCCTCCACTAAGCTGCTTCCCTTCTTCATGGTCTGGTTGACTTTTCCGTAATGGAATGGTCAGCAAGCTTGGATTTACTGTTTCAGTTTGCCACAGGGCTCTATCTACTCTCTTCTGCTTCTCATATTGGTGTCCCTGTGTCCATCTCGGGTTTTCAACTCACTGTTGTAAATTTTCATGATATTCTTATGGTCCTTTTTCTTCCTGTAAAATCAGTAGGGACTTTCCATTTTCATTTCTGATTTTAGTATTTTCAGTCACTTCTCTTTGACATGATAAATCCTACCTTGTAGAGTGAGGGAAGAATTATTTCCTTTTTTTTTTGGGGGGGGGGGGAGAGTTTAAGAAGCATTTCAATTCCTGCTCAGAATCTTTGGTAAAATTCAGTGCATTTTGCCACTGAAACCACTTGGCTCTTGGTCTGTCTTTAGTGGGAGTTTTTTAATGACTGGTTCAATCTCCTTACGTATCATAAGACGTCTCCTGTTTCTTGTCGATTTGTTTTTGGTAGTTTGTGGATTCCTAGGAGTCTGTCTGTTTCAACATCTTTTGCTTTGCTTTGTTTCTGTTTTGCTCGTCCCAGGGACAGACCCCAGGCCCCGAGCACTCTGGGCAAGCCCTCTTCCACTGAGTACCACCTGTCCCTATTTTTTAAATACCTGGTTTTAACATGGCCACAATGGCACCGTCCACCTACAACAGAATGCACAGTAATCCCCCCCTCCCGCTGCCAGGCCTGGGCCGGGTGACCACCGCATGCCTCCGTCTCCTTATCAGTGTGTCTTTCTGGGTCAGAATCCACACAGCCCTGGCCAGCTCCTGCAGCTGTGTGTCTTTGTGGACTGTCTGGATCCTGGGCCTCCTGCCCCTTTCCTTTTTGAAACTGTTTTTTAAAAAAATTTTTTGAGGGGTGGGGGGTACCAGGAACTGAACTCGGGGCACTTGACCACTGAGCCACATCCCCAGCCTTATTTTATATTTTGTTTAAAGACAGGGTCTCACCGGGTTGCTTAGTATCTTGCTTTTGCTGAGGTTGGCTTTGAACTCGCGATCCTCCTGCCTCAGTCTTCCAGACCGATAGAGTTACAGGTGTGCCATTGCACCCAGCTGCTTTTTTTAATTTTTAAATTTTAAAGTACCTTTATGTATTTATTTATTTATTTTTACATGGTGCTGAGGATCAAACCCAGGGCCTCTACCGCTGAGCGCTCTACCACTGAGCCCCAGCCCCAGCCCCTTTCTTGAACCCCACTGCTTATTGGGGGCGGGGCATACTAAGTGCCCATGTGCTATAGCTCTTGGGCAGCCATCCTCTCTCAGGGGATTGGGATGGGGACCTGGCCCTCCCCACCCTGGGCCTTCCCCCAGGGGCCCCACGGCTGTGAGCTTCTACACAGAATTTCCAAATACCACCACTACCCTCTGCTTCTTTTCCTCTTGCCAATTCTTTTTTTCAGTTGTAGTTGACACAATACCTTTATTTTATTTATTTATTTTTATGTGGGGCTGAGGGTCGAACCCAGGGCCTCGCACGTGCTAGGCGAGTGCTCTACCACTGAGCCACAACCCCAGCCCCTTGCCAATTCTGACAAGGACCTGAGCCAGCCTTGGCCCGTGACTGTATCAGTGTCTCCATAGCCCCCACCTTCCCAGGCTCCCCAGCGTGGACACGCTGGACGGGCCCTGGGTGGGCTCTGCCCTCCCGAGGCTCTGAGTCTCTCATTGTTGGGAGCCCCTAGTCCAGGGGCGGAGCCCACGGGGTTTGTCTACCTGTGGTAGTATTGACAAGTTTGTGGGGCCTTGGGGACCAGGTCCCTGTGGCTCCACCTGATGACCTCTCCTCCCCAGGCCGTGGCCATGGACGCCCTGTCTCTGGAGCAGCAGCTGCCCTACGCCTTCTTCACCCAGGCTGGCTCCCAACAGCCGCCCCCGCCGCAGCCCCAGCCCCCACCACCTCCACCGCCGGCGTCCCAACAGCAGCCGCCCCCGCCGCCGCCTCAGGTGCCCGTTGGCCTGCCCCCGGGAGGCCCTCTGATGCCAAGCGCCAGCCTGACGCGGGGGCCACAGCTGCCCCCGCTCGCGGTCACGGTACCGTCCTCTCTCCCCCAGTCCCCCCCAGAGAACCCGGGCCAGCCATCGATGGGGATTGACATCACCTCGGTAAGCCCGGGACGGTCCTGCAGGGCCTGGCTGGGGGGCTCGTGGAGGAGGAGTCTGGGGGCTGCAGGAGACCCCATTGGGCCGGGCAGGACGGTGGGGCCCCCCGACAGTGTGTGTGAGGGTCAGGATAGAAGCAGACCCTGCCCTGGGCCAGGCCAGGCCAGGCCCCCCACGACGAGGGCAACTGCTGGGACTCCTTAAGCCGAGGTTGTCACCCCGAGTACTGGAGGGGAAACTGAGGCCTGAGCAGGGTCATTGGCCCCAGACTCCTCCAGGGGCCCCCTCGGGTTTGACTGCTGAGCACTCCTGTTTGCCCCCGCTCCTGCCGGAAGCCGGCCTCCTGGGCGGTGCCAGGGCGCTTCCTATGGCCTGGGAAACAGCATTCTGGAAGCCCGCTCAGGCTGAGGCCAGGGCCTCGTGAGGTGGTTCAGGCAGCACAGCCCCTGGGGCAGGAAGCCACAGCCCAGAGCAAGGGAGTCTAACGAGTGCTAGGACTGGCTGGGTTAACCCCTGGACTACTACACCTTCCTGATAATGGGGGTCGCAGCTCCACTAAGGACCGTGTTTGGCACACATTTGACCCTCCCACTCAAGCCTTGGCTCCGGCTGCAGGCTGAAGGCCTTAGAACCTCGTGCTCTGTAAAGAATAGGCAGACCTGCCCTGCGTGGGGACCCCCATGGTCCAGGCTCTTCCTCTGGTGAAATCACAGCAGGTGCCGTGCCCTTGCTCAGGAGCTGGGCCGTCACTGGAAGCGCTGTGTCCCCATCAGGTGCAGAGACAGCCTCTCCAGGGCTCTTGGGTCAGGACTTACTTGGACCACCCAGCACCCCCAGGATCTGCTGGTTTCCACTGGGCACAGACCCGAGTGACCTCTGAGTCTCTGTGCAGACTCAGTGAGTGGGGATCATTTCTTTATGGTCGTTTCCTCTTTGCTGGCTCCTCTGTCACCCATATCCTGTCCCACCTGGACTCCACCCCCTACCCCAGACTGCTTAAAAAGGGCCACTGAGAAAATGGAGGTGAAGCAGTATTGGGGCCCTGGATCAATTGAACTGGACCTCCTTGAATCACAGGCTCAGAGAAGTTTGGCAGTTTGCCTGGAGGCACACAGCATGGCCAGGTTGGATCAGGACCAGAGTGGGGCCTAAATCTAGGTCCTAGCCTGGCCTGCGCTGCCTTCACTGGGTCTGGCTCAAGGAAGTGGTCAGATCCCTCAGAGGTCTCTCAGATGGCATAACCCAGGCAGGCTTGTCCCTGGGGAGGCCTGCAGTGGTGAGCACACAGTGCTGAGAGCCTGTGGCGCGTCCAGAGACAGCCTTCCTGTCAGCCCCAGTAAACAGGGTGGGCCAGGCTTGCCCCTGCTGAAGGCTGTTGGGAGCAGAGGTCATGCTCTGCCTGCCCTGCTGGGCTTCTCCCGCCCTGTGTGTGAGGGGCGCATGCTCAGAGGGGCATGTGCCCATGGGGTGTGGGCACTGGTGGTCCTGCGTGTATATAGAGGGGTGTACTTGTGTGTGTTTGGCTACGAGTACATGGGTGGGGGTGTGTGTGGGCTTGTGTGAGTGCAGACTTGTATCTGAGTGCACAAATGGGTGTGTGCACGCGCCTGGATATGCGTGTGTACACACATTTGTGTAGATGTGCATGTGGGTGTGCACACGTGGCTGTTGCATGTGGGTGTGGGTGTGTGCACATGGCGCTCTCAGCTCTGAGTCCAGGTTGACTCTCCAGCCCCCTCCTGTGGCCCTGGGAAGGCGGGGAGGGAGACCCGTGCTGGGCTCTCGCAGCCTGCTCTTCACTGGAGACCTCAGGCTCAGACACAGCTCCGGGTGCCCGGGGTGCCCTGGCTACCTGTGTTGGTTGGCACCCACCGTCAAGGCATGCGTGGTGGGAGCCTACTGGGAGCTCATGGGACCAGCCGCTCCCAGGAAACCAAGACAGGCCCCCGTGCTCGGGGAGCTAGGCCGCGGTCTGACCTGTCTGTCGTCGCAGGCGCCGGCTCTGCAGCAGTACCGCACTAGCGCGGGCTCCCCGGCCAACCAGTCTCCCACCTCGCCTGTCTCCAATCAAGGCTTCTCCCCCGGGAGCTCCCCACAAGTAAGGGACGCCGCCGCCTCCCCTCGCCTGGCCCCGCACTGCAGCCTGCTTCGTGTCCCTGTGTGCCATCGTCTGCTTCACTGCTCACCCATCCCATCTTGTCCCTTCCATGGACCAGGGCTGTGCACGCACCGGGCTGCACCAGGCGGGCCCTGGGGACAGACCACCACCTGGGCCATGGTGGAGGAAGACATGCAGCCTCTGCCATCACTTGGTGCCTTCATGGTCTCTGCCAAGCCTGCTAGGGATAATGGGGTTCCTCATCCAAGCCTGTCACATGAGCAGTGGCTGTGGTGGTCACTCCACCAAGGGACTCAGTGACGACTCTCTCAGTGTCCCTAGGCCCTCAAGACTCGTAGCAGTGTGTGGCCGAGAGCAGGAGCCCAGGCTTGGCCACCCTGCAGCCTCGAGCTTCAAGGCTCCTGAAGGGGGCAGTGGATTCCCTTTCAGGGCACAGTTAACTTGACCTTCAGTGGTGGCAGCCCCGACTTCTCAGCTCGTCTCTCCCCTCCACCCTGCAGGAAGGCATGTCCCTTGGCTGCTAGGCCCCCAAGCCTAGGTCAGTCCACTGAGCCCCTCTTTCCCCATCCGTGGATGAACAGACTGAGGCTGAGTCCAAGCTCCAGGTGACAGGGCAAGATGTGACTTCATCAGACGCGGGTTTTCCTGCCAGCCGGGTGCAGGTCTAGGTGTCTTAGGACCCCTTGGTCCTGCTCAGCCTCTCTGCCCGCCCAGGCTCCCTGCGCCAGTGGCTGTTTGTGTGGCTCTGGTGTGAGGTGTGGTCTTGGCTTCAGTGGGTCCCATGTTTCATTCAGAACTTCCATCAGGGGACCCCACTTCCTGGGCAGAGACCACCTCATCCCCAAAATGTCCTAGAAGCCACTGCAGGGCCCAAGGTCATGAAGATGTTCCCTTGACCCTGGCAGAGGGATGATGGGCTCCGCTTCCTGGCGAGGCGGGGAGACTGCTTCCTTCTAGGGGGACCCTACAGGAATGAAGACAGACTCCCTTGTCCCCAGGGACATGCTGAGAGGTGGCCTTTCTGCTCTGTCACCAGCATTGAGACCACATGAGTGGGTCATCCTCCCCCTCAGCCAGGGCCCTGCTGGGACTCCTGCCCGCAGCCCCGGCTGCACAGCAGTGGCAGGGTGGTGGTGACCTCGAGTTACACCTGGTCAGCCTGGTGACCGCACAGCCCATTCCACCCACGCTGTCCTGAACTCTGGTAACACATCTGGTCTCGTCACGCGGCGCTGCTGTGGGGAGGGCCTAGAGATGCCATTCAGCTGGGGCCCCCATGTGCTGGGCGGGGCCGGAGAGCTTCTCCCTGGAGGGAGTCCGCTGAGGGTCACTTCATTCTTTGCCACCAACCAAAGCGCTGTGGTCTGGCTGGGTGAGAGCGTGCCGCTGGCTCGGCCGCCTGCTCGGCCGCCTGCTCGTCTGCTGTGTACTGGTGTGGGCAGCGGGGGCTCGAGGCGAAGTGGCCTGGGGCTCCCCCAGAAGCAGAAGGTGCTGGGCAGAGACCACACCTGGTTTTCTGGCTGCGGCTGGGTCTCCACAGATGCGCTCATCAGACCCCTGGGCCTGGGCCACCCTGCCCGGCCTACACCTGCCACCTCTGTCCTCAGTTGGCCATTGCATCTGTCCCAGTCAGGCCCGGCCCCAGGCTGCTCCCGAGCTGACGTCCTGGCCACCCTCAGGGCAGCCTCATAAGAGACACCTTGGCCATCAGTGCCCCTGTGGGTCAGGGCCAGGGCCACAGGGACAGGATCGGGCATCATCTCAGAAGCCCAGTCCCTCCCAGCACCTGCCCCAGCCTCGCCAGCTGGGTGAAGCCCGCACTCTCTGCTTCCTTCTCACTGGGCGGCATCAGCCACGGCCCTGCAGCCCCTTGGCAAAGCCTGAAGTGGGTGGTTGTGTCTGGGCCGCGCTGGGGAAGGCGCCCGGCCGTGGGTGCGCCAGGGGCCTCTACCTCGGGCTCACCCCGGCTCAAAGCTGTGGACTCTGGGCTTCGGGGATTTGCCACTTTGTTCTCTTCCTCAGTCCCCCTCTTTAACTCCTCGCTGGCCTTCGATGGCTCATCCGTCACTGTGACTCCAGTCAGAGTGGGCATCTGTCCCTTCTGCTCTTGGTCCACTGACCCCAGGGGGCTAAGGGTTTGCTGTCAACCCAGATTGAAGTGTTGAGTTGTCCTAGCACCTGGGGTCTTCCCAAGGGCCAGGGGGCCAGGGCATTTGGTCTGTGGAGATGGTCTCTGAGACGTGGTGTGCTGGGCACCCTGTCCTGCACAGGTAGAAGCAGGCTGGAGTTCCCAGCCTTGGGGTGCTGCTGGGCCTCTGGTGGCTTCAAGGTCACTCCGGGGCTCTTTTCTCGGCCTTATTCATCAGGGGCTTGGGATGTGACTTGGCCACTTGCACAGCCCAGCTAGGCTCTGTCCCCTGTCTCTTTGGTGTGGCTCCAAGCGCACCTTTACAGCATTCCCACCACCCATGAGTCCCCTAGTCCCCTCCTCCTCTCCCAGGGACAGCCCGTGCCCCTTCCTCTGAGCACGTCTGGCTGAGACGGGACGCAGCAGGTGGCCTCCCCGTGCGGGCCTCAGGCCTCTCTCTGCTCCCGTCTGTGCTCGCTTGGCCAGTGGCCAGCTCTGTGCATCGTCCTGTCCAAGTATGTGTGGCCTGTCTCCTGTCTTCCTGGGGGCCCATCGGGTTCCCCAGTGCACGTTCTGTCGTGAATGTAACGTCCAGGCATCTTCTGTCTTGGCCCCTCTCCCAGGTCACCTCTGAGGCTTCCAGGCCTCTCATCTGGCAGCCCCACCTTCTCTCTGGCGGAAATGGGGTCTCCACACCCGACTCAAGGGGAGTTAGGGGCGGTGCCTTGGAGGGTATCAGGGTGCAGACACCCCAGGTGGAAGGAAGCAGTCATCCAGGACTGGGGCGCACCCACGGACCCCAAGATAAAAGTCATCAGCCTTCTGCGTCCCAGGGAGCTCCGGGGGCCTTTCTCCCTGTCCAGCCAGGGCCTGGGAGCGCCAGTCCTGATGGGCCCTGGTCCACCCCTGCCCGGTCTTGGGGGCCGTGACCACAGCAGGCCTCTCTTCTGTCTGCAGCACTCGTCCGCCTTGGGCAGCGTGTTTGGGGACTCATACTATGAGCAGCAGATGGCAGCCAGGCAGGCCAATGCTCTGTCCCGCCAGGTGAGGGGGCGCCCAGGCCACCGGCCGGTGCCCACAGCACATGCTCGCCAGGACCCAGACCTTGGGGGCAGGGCCGCACGCACTCAGGGGACCCTGCCCACCCCTTGGCTTCGCTCCTCAGTCCCTGTCCTGTCTTTGAGCTGTGGAGGCCAAGGCCCCAGCAGAGGTGGCTTGGCCTGGTCTCCCGGACCTCTGTCTGGCTGGCAGAATGGATTCCGAAGGTAGAGGGGGAGGAAGGGCAGGCCTCGACCAGGCGGGGACAGGGCAGCGGCTGTCAGAGCAGTGCCTTGGCGTGGGCCGTGCACGTGGGTTGCCGGGAGGCTGCGCTGGCTTTGCGTGGAGGCCGGGGCAGGGACACTGGGGCAGAGGAGGTGTGGCCGGGGCCTGGAGCACTCACTTGCTCATCTGTCCATCCATCTATCCATCCATCTTGAGTGCCAGGGAGGCCCCGGGCCTGGGGGCTCACGCTCAGCAGCTTTGGATGCCAGGCCCCCTGCAGGGGCATCCTGGGGCCGCAGGTGGCAGCCGGGAGCCCTGGGTGGTCCTCACGGCCTGGCGCGCTTGCCTTGCCAGCTGGAGCAGTTCAACATGATGGAGAACGCCATCAGCTCCAGCAGCCTCTACGGCTCCGGCTCCACACTCAACTACTCGCAGGCGGCCATGATGGGCCTCACGAGCAGCCACGGGAGCCTGCAGGACACGCAGCAGCTCGGCTACTCCAGCCACAGCGGCATCCCCAACATCATCCTCACAGGTGAGGCTGCCAGCCCCGTCACAGGCCCAGTGCCCAGGAGCCTAGGTGGGGCTTCCCTGTGCCCAGGGGCAGCGTGGCCGCTGGGAGAGGCTCAGCCCCATCAGGAGACTGAGCTGGGCTGCCTCCCTGCCCTCAGCCCAGGGTTCAGCGGGACAGGGCCCCGAGGAGGCCAGATCCCTCCCGCACCTTGAACTCCACCCATTCCTGGGCAGGACAGGCCAAGGAGATACCTAGGCCCTGGGACAGGCATCCAGCACTCAGTGCAAAGCCAGTCAGGAACGCGCTGCCCAGGTACCTAGGGGACACGCAGCCCCATCCTGCACAGCACGGATGAAATCACCCAGCACAAAACCCAGGCATTCAGTGGCCACCCCCACCCCCGTCTTCACCAGGGCTGCTGGGGATGTCCCCACTGGCACCTCTAGGATACGGGAGGTCACATTCAGAGCCCCTGGTGCCTTTTGTGGGAATCCTGACCTCCCCACCCCTGGGCCAGGCAGTGGGCAGAGGTGGACGCCCAGGGACAGAGACCAGGGACTCCCAAGACAGGGCTGCTCTCTGATGGCGCGGCTGCCCAGGGAGACGGGGACTCTGAAGCCCACGTCCCAGCTCTGCAAACAGGCGCAGCACCTCCCCCAGGGCAGTAGAGGGAGGAGCCAGGTTCCTTTCTGGGCAGCAGCTGGGCCCATTGGGGACAAGTGCCCTTCGTGCCTGCACCCAGCCTGCCTCTCATGGCCCTTGGGGCTTCAGCCCCGGGGCACTGCTGACATCTAGTGTCGGGTCATTCTTTGAGGTGGGTACTTTCCTGTGCCTCCACCCACCAGATGCCAGCAGTGTCACTTCCCTCAGTTGTGACAACCAGAATGTCTCCAGACCTTGGCAGTGTTCCCTGGAGGGCAGGTCTGACATTGCTGGAGGGTGGGAGCCAGGGAGGCCAGGCTGAGCTGTACTATTTGTCTCTCCTAGTGACAGGAGAGTCCCCTCCTAGCCTCTCTAAAGAACTGACCAGCACTCTGGCCGGGGTCAGCGATGTCAGCTTCGACGCTGACAACCAGTTCCCCCTGGATGAACTCAAGATCGACCCCCTGACCCTCGACGGACTGCACATGCTCAATGACCCTGACATGGTCCTCGCTGACCCGGCCACTGAGGACACCTTCCGGATGGACCGTCTGTGAGCGGCCATGCCTGGCATAGTGCCGCCGGTCCATGGTCTCCGACGGCGTCCCTCCAAGCCTGGGGGCGGCCACACTCCGTCCCTCGCAAACGGCCGAGCTTGTGATTCTGAGCTTGCAATGCCGCCCGGCGCCCCCACCAGCCCGCCCCCGGTTGTTCACCTCCCGCTGAAGCCCGGCGGGGCCCCGAGCCGGGGCCCTCCGTCCGTCCGTCCGCCTGGCGCCAGGCGGGGTCAGAGGCTGTGAGTCCTCACTCCTGCAGACCCTCCCTGCGCTCGTTCCTCTCCTACCCCGGGGCCGGGCGCGAGCCCCCCACAGGATGCTGAGAGTGGGGTGTCAGGAGGCTTGGGGTGGGTGTCTGGGCTGAGGTGCACTTTCCGACTGTTGATGAGCTCTCACTGCCTTTCTTCATCCCGTCCCCGCGACCCGCCATCCCCAGCCCACGATCAGGTAGACAGCGGCCCCACCTGCCGAGGCAGAAGGTGCCAGAGGAGGGACAGGCAGAGTGAAATAAACACTATTTTGATGGCCGTCTTCTATTTTCTGAGCACACTCAAAAGCACCGGGCGAACGTTAGGTGTGACCCAGCATGCGGAGCGGCCGACGCCCTCTCGCCCTCCCACCCCTTCAGCCCAGCCAGGGCCTTCTGTCCCGAGATGTCCCGACAGGCTGAAGCCGACCACAGCTGCCCCGGGCAGGGATGACCTGGGGTCTTTATCTCCCTCGCCCTGTCCTGTGGTCATGTTAGAGGTACATACTGTTACTAAGGCTGGGGGGGTCGGGCGGGTAGGTGGCCAGGGAATCTCTGTCGTGATTTTTTTTTCTTCTTTGGTTTGTATTTACATTTGGTTGTAGACGAGTAGCTGAATCTTTCCAGCCAACACTTGCCTGAGAGCATGATTTTATAATCCCAGAATCCTGTGTTCCCCATTTTTAAGCTAACTGGAAACGTGGGCTGATAAACCTAGGAGCAGTGGCCGCCCGCAGGCCCAAGCCCGAACCTCGGACTTTCTTAGTTTTGCGGCCACCAAGAGGCCACCTAAGGCCCCGCCTGTCAGAAGCTCGTGATGGCTAAAGAGGCCGCTGTTGGTGCATAAAGCAGACTTTTGGGACGTAGCCCGTTTTATGGGAGGGTCTCTGTAAGAACTGACTCTGCCTGCTGCTCCCCAGTGTGTCCCCAAGCCTCACCTTGAAGACCCCATGACTGGGGCCTCTGCGCTGAGGGCATCAGGACCAGTGGGAAAGAGTGGACCTCTGAGAGCCAGGGCAGAGCTGGCCTTTCGTCTCCTGCACCCTGCCCTCTCTGGCTCCCGGTCCAGGCCTCTGATGGGCCTTGTGTCCCAGCCACCAGTTTTTGGTGCCTCAGCCAGGGCCGAGGGGACTTGGAGGCAAAGGGCAGCATGTGTTTTAGTGGCAGGTTTCCAGGTGCTTTAAGAAGTGCCTCTGGAGGCCAAGGTTGCAGTGGGGCACCCGGAGTGGCCTCAGACACTGCCACCACAGGCCCTGTGACAGGCAGTGGCACAGCTGTTTTCTGTCTCCCGCTCTGGGATGTGACACTCTGGGTTTTTCCTCTGGGTTGCACCTTGACGCCCTCGCCTGCGCCTCTGCCCACCAGGCTGGCACCTTCTGCTGGGTGCGTTTCTTTGTGGTGTCGCAGCTGCCATCTCCGCCAGGTCACAGGAGCCCTCATTCTGTCCTCCGGAGCTGCATTTGATACTAGCACTGTCCCTCCCTCTCCTTCCCAGTGACGCTGTTAGCACATGGCCAAGCAGCCAGGTGGCCACTGACCTCCTGGGTCACTGTGCACCTGCTGCTGTCCATCACCCTGGGCTTGAGGAGCACAGCATTAGACGGTGTCCAGGTCACAGCCCATTCTGCTGCTGGGATGGAGGCCGGAAGCAAAAAGTGGGGACATTTTTTTTTTAAGAAAAACTGTACACGGGAGGCTTTGGTTACATTAGACTTGTATGTAGAACTTTAAAAAATGGCCTTAATAAAATCCCACACAACCTGCCTGGGCACAGTTTTCAAATAAGGCGTTGGGGACCTCACAAAGGAGCCTCATGGGCCGCCACAACTGTCCATCGAGCCACTGGCCAATGCCACCGCCACTGCTCTTTCAGGCTCTTGGTGCAGACAGGCGAGAGAGGAGGGACAGTGCCCTCTGAGCATCCCAGGTTTTTGGCCCGTCTCCAGTGTCCCACAGCCAGGACCACAGGTGACATTGTATTAATGCAGTGGCCTTGGCTTATCGCCAAATTCTTTTTCCAGTGGGAATGAGGTGGATCAAGGTCAGGGCTTCCTGCGAAGGTGCGGGGCCTTGTTCGTTCTCAGGGCCAGCTGGGAGCCAGCAGCCAGGCGTCCCCGTGTTCTGGAAACGCTCACCCCCTCTGCACCTGGGCAGGCCACCTGGGCTCTGTAACGGGATTTTGTGGGGGTCTTTTTTTAGATGTCACTTCTCTACTAAATATTCCTGAATTGCCAAGACTTTCTAAAACAAGACAGTTTAAGGGAACCAGCCCTGTGCTCTGTGACGTGAAAATACTGTGATTTCAGACGCGCTGCACCAGGAGGGCCAGGCCAGGGGCCCCTGCAGCATGTATATAGCCCCACTGCTCGTGTCCTCGTTTGGGACAGGCTTGGATACTCGGCCCTTGCCGGGTCAGAGGCAGGGCCAGGCCAGCCGTTCCCCCAGCCCTACCCATGTACTCCCGGCTTTGGCCAGGTCCCTCTGCTTTGCAGACCCTCCCCCAGGGCAGAAGCAAGATAGGGGGCTTCTGAGAACACCACGTCCCCACCACCTCTTCTACCCCCGCCCTCTGGGTCCCAGGGGGTGCATTTGCTCCCTCACAAGGCTCAGAGGCCGGAGCCCCTGGGTCAGCTCCTTTGTGCTCCGGGCGTTTTGCTCCACAGGGCCCCACCTGGGACACTCCTCTCTGGTGCCACCTTCTTGTGGCTTTTCAGTGCTGTGGAGGAGAATTCTGACATGGTGTGATTTCTCCAGGTGGTCCAGCTCTCTGGAGGACATAGCAGGGTCCCGTACTGAGGCCCGTGTTTCATGGTGGGGCATGGAATGGTGGCCAGTGGCCTTCAGATGGGCGTGGGACGTCACAGCCAGGGCTGTGTGGCCAGCAGCTGCCTACAGCCACTCGGGGGCACAGCCCAGGGAGGGATAGGCAGGGCCAGACAGCTGGGCAGCCACCCTGTGTCAGTGCCTGTCCCTAGGGGGGCTCGGAGACCCCCAGCCCTCCTGTCTTGGTGGGTCCTCAGCTGGTCCAAACCAAACACTCTTCCAAATCCCCACCTGACCTGGCTCCCGGTTTTCTGTATTTCCAAAGAAGGCCTCGAGCGCCTGGCCAGCTGGGCGTGGTGAGGCCGGGTGGTACTGGGCCTCCACGCTCTCCAGTGGTTCCTGATGCAGCTGGTGGCCAGAAGTCACAGGGTCCTCACTGTGGGGGTGGGATGAGGGTCCCTCAGCACCAGGGGCCCCAACGCCAATGATAGGAGGTACCCTTGAGCCTGGTGCATTGTCACCCTGCTAGGTGACACTCCAGGTGAGGGGACCATGGCTCCTGGAGCCCTCCCCACATGGCCTGGAGAGCTTGGGGAAGACTCAGTCCTTTACAAACCACTGAGGATGCTTGGGGTGCGGAGGCAGCAGGGTCCCTTTAAGCCGCATTCTCCTTGGCCCCTGAGTCCCCATTCCTACAGGGGTCTTCTGGCATTTGACTTGGTGTCCCTGGGACATCCCCCCCTCAGGTCGTGCCCAGTCAGTTTGGCCTGAGCCAACCATGTCCTTGGGTTCTTTCCAAGGAGTTCTGGCCAGCCAGGGCTCAGGTACCACTCAGAGCCCTCCCTGTGGTATGAGTGTCCCTTCTACCTTTGTCACCCAGGGACAGGAGGTGGGTGACCTGCATCCCAGGCCTGGGTGCGAGGCTACTCCCAAGGGCACGGGGTCAGGAGTGAGCCCCATGGGGCCTGAGCCTCAGTTTCCCTCCTGTCACTTTCCAAACCCGAAGGTCTCAGGGCCCCCGGCTCCCTGACCAGGGTCGGGAGCAGAGGCTGGCCTTGGGATGGTGCTGGTTCCAGATGGCTCCATCCACCTTTCTCCGCGTGGCCCGTGTCAGGGGTGGGGGTTGTCTCACAGGGTTCTGGATTTGGGATCAATCCATGTTCGGCCTTGCCTAGCCCAGCTGGTCAAGCACTCCTGACCTCCTGCCCACTGGGAACATGGGGACATAGCCATGGCCTCACACCACACCCCGGAGACTGGGCTTTGGCAGCCCAGGTCCACAGGCCCTGCCTTGCCCCCACTAGGAACTGCCCCCCAGGGGCTGGGCAGCCCCATTGATATATGCAAACCTGCTGGTCCAAGCCCCGCCCCGCCCGTGCCCCTCTGTGCCCAGGCTGGCTCTGTCCCCCAGCATGTACACTCCACTGCGGATGTCCTGTGGGCCTGCGCGGGCGCTGTGGCAGGCAGGTGGGGTGGGCGCTCAGGACACACTCAGCTGCCCCTGCCCGCCCTCTGGCGCGGACGCTTTTGTCTTTGTACCTTTGCATCCTTTGTAATGAAATGGAATAAAAATCCAATGTTTTCGTCTCTGTCTCTTCCCGTGTTTTCCTACCCTGTCTCCCTCCCTCGGGGATGGCAAAGGCCCCTGACCCTCTCTCTCCATGAATGGCCACAGGCACACAGACAGACACACAGGCATGAGTGCCCCACACACCCCTGTCGGCACCTGAGGAGGGATCCTCAAACTTTCAGGGGACAGACCAGCCCCCTAGAATCCTCCAGCAGACACTCCAGTGGAGGGGTCCCAGCTTCATCATGGCTGAGTGACTGGGACACATGGCAGACCTAGGAACCTCCCCAAACCAGGACTGGATAGTCCCCAGCAGATAGGTGGGCCCCTCAGAGGCCCAGTTACACTGTCCCCTTGCAGCAAAGACCACACTTGGCACTCCCCCCGCACACGAGCTTTATTCGCCTCTCTGACCCTCTCCCTTCCCCTCTGGGCTGGGGCCTCCCTCGGCCCCCATCCCCCCATGATAAGGGCAGCCAACGTCCAACAGTAGGTTCCGGGTTCCCTGTCCAACAGTAGGTTCCGGGTTCCCTAGGCCCGCTGCAGCCGCTGGGTCTCATAGTCTTCAGGGATGGTGTCTGCAAGAGAGGGCCAGCGGGTGAGAGGCCTTGCAAGGCCTTTGGGCAGATTCCCTGCCCTCCCTCCCGGGTCCCCAGCTCACCGTTGCAGCGGTAGCGCAGGTTGGCCCAGATGATGTTCTCCTGGGAGAAGCAGAAGACCCCCAGGCGGCCGCCCCTCATGGTTGTATCCAAGACCACGTTGCTGTCAGCCACCAGCTCGGGCCCCTCGTAGAACCTCACCCTGCAGGTGGGAGAGTGAGTCAGGCCACAGCCAGCACCATTTTGCCTGTGTTGGAATGGACACGAAGGGGCCCTGCCCACAGCCAGGGCTGAGTGACGCACCCGGGCATCCTAGCATCGTGGAATGAGGGTCAAAGGGTTCTTCTAACTG